TATAGAAGATTTATTGCCTTGTCTTTCACATTACATGTGCAATCACTGTGGTTTATAATGTTCTCTTTTTTCCTATGTGGATATCCAATTGATCAGCACTTTTCCCCACTGCTGTGTATTGCCTTCTTTGTCATAAAGTAAGCATCATATATACATGGGTTTGTTTTGAGTCTATTTTGTTACATTGGTCTGTTTGTCCTTGTCCTAGCATTACCAAAGTGTCTTAATTGCTGGAGCTTTAGAATAAGTCTTGATACCTGGAAGAGTATGTCTTCCCATCTTATTTCTTAGAGATTTTTGCCATCGGTTTTTGTTTATTGGTTTTTAAGTCCTTTATCAAAATAAAGAAGTTGCCTTCTATTTCTGATTTACTGAGGGTTTTTTTTTTTTTTTTAAGTAATCATGAATGAACATTGAGTTTTATCAAATATTTTTTGTGCATCTGTTGATTTTTTTTCCTTATTCAAATGTTAAACTAATGTTAGTTACATTTCTGGAATAACCCCAAGTTGGTCGTATGTATTATCCTTCATGTAAATTGGATTTGGTTCGCTAATATTTAGGGTATTTGCATACGTTCATGAATGAGATTACCCTTTCTCTTAATGTTTTTGTTCTTGATATCAAGGTTATGCTGACCTCATAAAATGGATTGGTGAATGTTCTTTTTTCTTCTGTTCTCTGGAAGCGTTTGTGTCACATTTAACATTATTTCTTTTTTAATGTTTGGTAGAATTCACTGATAAAGACATGTAGTTCTAGAGTTTTCTTTCTTAGTAAGGTTTTTAATTGTAGATTGAATTTCTTCACTAGTATCAAACTTAATATTTTTTATATTTGTTATTTCATTCTAGATAATATTTCCCCCTGGAATTTATTCCTTTTATCTAAATTTTTAAGTTCATTGGTATAAAGTTCTTCATAATATCCCCTTATGATCTTACTCTTTATTTTGAAATATCAAATTTACAGAAAAATTACAAGAATAGAGCAGAATAACTTTTTCTGAACCACCTAAGAGCAAGATGCACCCCATCCATGAAAGTGTATCTCTTCTGTAATACAAACACTCCTACGTAATCACAAAATAGCTGTCAAACCAGGAAACCAGCATCAATACATTACTGCAATTCAGAACCCTGTTCACTTTTTTAAAACAACATTCTTGAGAATCAGTTGACTTAGAAGAAAGCTGCACATATTTAAAGTGTACAATTTGATAAGTTTTGACATTGGTGTTCACCCATAAATCATCGTCACAATCAAGATAGTGGACATATTTATTACCTGCAAGTTTCCTCATTCTCCTTTGTAATTGCTCCTAAATGGTCCGTTTAGAGTTAATGTTTGTATATGACATGAAGTATGAATCTGAGTTCATTCACTTACGTATGGATGTCAAATTGTGTCCGCGCCATTTGTTGAAAAGCTATTCCTTCTCCACTTGGCTTTCTACTTAAGTGAATAAACAGTTGTCTGTATATACCCTGTCTGCTTCTGGAGCCCTTTCTCTGTGTGATTCCCCCAAATCTCTGCTGTTGGTGCTTCTTCAAACTCTGGCCTCTATTTTCGTAAATTCAACAAGGTCACTGTGCCTTGTCTGAGACACCACCATCCCCTAATTCAGAAAATTGCTTCCAGGCAGAAAGCCAGGGTGATGATCTTGGGGTTCCGCTGTTGGATTGCCATCTCAGGGATTGTAGTCCTAGCCTGTTGTCTGATGTCTAAAACAGTTGTCCGATACATTTAGTTCAGTTTAAAGCTACTTAGGGTGGTAGGGCTTCTCAGGTACCTGCTACTCTATCGTGCTCAACTACTGTTTTTAACTCCTTACCGGTAAGTACTATTATGTTGTAGGCTCCCTGGAAGAGTCTATAAATTTTAAGCAACTCATCACGTGTAACATGATCTTGTATATGTGAACCTCATGAGTAGGAAATTTAAAAAATAATTTCACATGAATACTGTCACATTGATGTTTTATTAATTTACTAAACAAAATATAATTATTCCAAGTCCTGTGGTACTTGTACCATGATCTTCTTTCACCCGATGTTCATCTTTTGACTAGTTACTGGATATTCTTTCTTTAATTCTTTGGAGATAGATTCCCTATCCTTATAAAGCTTTGTAGCGACATTGGTGGTTATTTGGATTAGACTAGTACCGTGTTTTAGATACAACCATCATGCTTTACTACATACTTAGGTACTACCTCTCCCACCCACGGTAATGTCTTTGTTTTTTTCCTGTGGAGATAAAATGCACAGATGACATAATTTACCATTTTGAAGTATATAGTTTATTGGCCCTTGTAGCCACTGATCTCCTTTCTGTCACTGTGCTGTGGATTTGCCTGTTCTGGACATTTCATACAAATGGAATCATACAGTCTATGGCCATTGTCCCTGGCTTCTTTCACTTAGCTTCATTTCAGGGTTTCTCATGTTATATAACATGTATCAGTGTCTCACTCCTTTTTAAGGCTGAATAATACTGTACCATGTGACTGTACCACATTTGGGTTGTTTCCACTTTTTTGGCTCTCAGGAATAATGCTGTTGTGAACATTGTTTACAAGTTTTTGCATGAATATATGTTTTCATTTCTTTCAGGTATATACATAAGAGTGGAATTACTGGGTCATATGATAAGACAGCTTAGTGTTTATTATAAAATCACTTGATATGTTTTCAATATGGTGATTTAAACATCAGATGAATGATTGGCCTACCTCACTTTTAAATGTTCTTTCAACCTGAGAGTCTGTTATTCCTCAACAAATTAAATTCAGCAGGAATGTTTTGAGCACCATTTAATCACGTACAATATGTAAGAAGAAGAACTGATTTAAGGAGCTTAGAATTTCATTGGTGAGATAATAGCTATATGTACAATAGGGAACAGTTAAAAATTAGATATGATCAATTATAGAATGCATAGCAGACTGTAAATGCCTGAGATGATAAGTCAGATAAAGGAGACACTGGCAGAGTGGAATGGGAAGGGAGCTTTGGAAGGGGGATAGTTTTGGGCTAAGTGGAGGAGGGAAAAGCGCATCCTGCCATCTTGTAGAAAGGAATATCAGTAAGATAGAGCCACCTAGGCAGGACAAAGGAGTACATGTTTGCAGCAGTGTCAGTAGAGACCAGCCTGGCAGAAGTAGAAAGCTGTTTTCAGCGGGTAGCTAGCTAAATTAGGATGAACTCTTTCAGTTTTATCAGCTATAGCATTTTCAGCAGTTCTTCACATTGGTGGCAGTCTGTCTAGAATTGAACAGTTGAGGTTTGCATCACTAAGGTGCTGCCGCCAGTAAGTATGTTTTAATGTTGCAGTGGAGTAAGAATTTTTTTGTGGAAAAATCCTCATTTATGTCATGAGTTACATCTGTTTGAGAAACAGCATGAACAGAATAGCCATCAGAGTGAGAGTTGCCTTTGTGAAGCTGCTAGGCGCGAGGAGAAATTCCTTTGAGTTCAGTAGCTCTTCTCTTTCTGTTAGAAGCCAGTAGATTCTGGTCTTTGTTCATGCTTCGTGTGTAAGGATCAAGGTCACACTGAGGTTAAGGCTGCTTGCCGTGTTGATGTTCAACTCTGGGCGCAGTATTCCATGCTGGCTTTTTAATTTAAATTCTGGTATTAGAACAGTACTTCAAAGCACATTAATTAATTCTTGTTTAATATTCACGTAAAATCAGATTTTACTGGCATATACCAGTATAAAAACCATTTAAAATAAATTTCCCATGGAGTGGATTGAAAAAGAAGCAGTATAATTTCTTTCCATTGACAGAATAAACATGCTAGAAGGTTTTTCTATGGTTTAGTATTATTGAGTATCAAATATGTATAAAGACGTATATGTAAGTATGTATAAAAATCCCAGATTTTTGAATGTCAGCGTTTTCAATGTTTAAAATTATAGAGCTGTAAATATAGCATCTTTTCTTTGAAAGAATATCAAACAATAGCTAAAAACATGATTAAGTGACAGAAAGCTTTAATTATAACTGTTCATTCAAATTTTGTGAAATCGTTTTATAAAGAAATGTTTAGTAAGCATGGTAAATCCTTGCTGTGGGTATTCTCATTTTGTGCTGGCCCATTTTGAGGCAAACATCAGACTCCTGACCGAGAGTACTCGTTTGAAAGAACAGAAAAATCCCAAGAACAGAGAGGGGGATTGCTGATAAGTAGAACTTTACTTGGTGACAGCATTGAATGTTAGTGTTTAAAGTATACATTACAGAATAGTTTTGAAAAATACAAGGTAAAAGTTAAAATGTACATAACACTGGATAATCTTCAGTACTATATTAATATGAAGTTATTTACAGTATCATGCCTAGAGAAATTAAGAAAAACATTTATTAGTTATCTTTATTAATATTATTCATTAGTTTTCTTCATTTCCATCACTTGATTATTGATTTTTGCTGGTCCATTACTATATATAGTTGGTGTGACACTTTTCTCTGATCTAAGGCCATCTAAATGTGTATAAGATGATTGGTTCATTTTTATTGGGGGGAAAAATGAAGCAGAGGAAATCTTGTCTTAGTGATGAATAATGAAACATTTTTCTCCCCTTTGATCTCATCAGTACTATATTTTATTAATCTTAACAAGGTAGAATTTGGCCTGTAAAACATATACTGTAGAATATACTTTGTTGGAAAATTTTTCTGTTTAATGAATTTTCAGGTTTATTGGTGAGATGAAAGTAGCATGTGATTCTGTGGTTGACTTAAGGAGCTCTGGTGGCATAATACTTAAAGCATTCGGTGCCAACTGAAAGGTTGGAGGTTTGAACCCATCAGCAGGAGAAAGATGAGGCAGTTGGCTTCTGTAAAGATTTACAGCCTGGAAACCCTAAGGGGGCATTCTGCTCTGTCCTATAGGGTCACTGTGAGTTGGAATCAACTCAGTGGCAACTAGTTGTTTTGGGGTTTTTTGGTCTGTGGTTGATTTTGTGTCATTTTTTTCCTTAATTTTTGGCAGATAAAATAAAACAAGAAGATATTGAAGGCATTCTGCAGAAGTTTACTGGGAATATAATGCAAGTACCCCCTCTGTAAGTTCCATTATTGGCTTTGAATAATTGGTACAAACAGTGAAATGTGCTTGGCTACCAAACTGAAGGTTGCAGTCTATGAGGAGGCACCTTCTGAGAAAGGCCTGGTAATCTCCTTCCAAAGTCAGCCACCGAAAGCCTTAGGCAGCACATTTTCCCACTCTGACACACATGGGGTCACCATGAGTCAGAGATGGCGTCATGGCAGCCAGTGATGGTGGATGCCACTTTAATTAAAATAAATGGACGTCTTTTACTATACAGTGGGACAGGCTTTAAATCTGACACAGTAAATGCTGAAAGAAAGGTGAGTCTGCTTTGGACAGGAGTGTAGCTTCCTAGACTCTCCAAGACAATGGAGCGTGGTCTTCTCTGTCCCAAGATGATGCCACAGGTATGTGCTAGTCCAGTGCAAAAACAAAAAACCATTTCATCTGTCCCAGTGATGTCACTTCTACCCAGGTATTCTGGGAAGGAGCAAGTCCAATGGCATAAGGGTGTCAGATGTATATCCATATCCTAATGTGCACTGCTTGCTAGGTGTGAGGACCAGTCCTTTTGGGCATATAATCTTTCGCTTGATTAACAAACAAAATAGATGAGAGTTATAAATTATTAAAGTATAAGTATATTGCTACCACATTTTTTGTGTACATTACCATTCAAGCACATTACTTCTTGTTTGTTGTTGGTGTTTTAATAGCTATAGGATATGTCAGGATAAGTAGCTGGCTTTTTTTTTTTTTTTTTTTTAATTTAGTATTTATTTTGTGTTAAAACATGGTGATTTCTTCAAAAAGTAAATATCTACTAGAGAAGTGTTTCTTCATAATCTTGCCTCAAATGTAAAGAGTTTTGAAACTTAGCCAGGTCTGTATAAACATTATTTTGGATCATTATTTTTAAAATACTGTCGTATTTATTAGGATCATCTAGCCTTTTCCTCTCCTTGATTGTTCTAAGATTTTATGATCTAATAAAATTTTATCACACACATCTAAAGATCTGCTAAATAGATCATTTGCTAATTTGTGTATTAGAAATGTTTTAGTAGCTTTGATACAAAAATTAATATTACTGTAATGTAAATTGTTTCAAGGAAATAAAGCCCTGATCATTCTGACCAGAAGGTTCCTATGTTCCCTGTGTCCCAAACCTAGAATGAGGAGAAGAGAAGATAGGAATAGACCATGTTCAGACAGGTGGTTAAGGATTAACATTGACAGACCTTGCTCATTGAGTGCTGGGATGAGATACATTAGCTCTGACACCATTATCAAGTAGATTGGAAGAAAAAACATGTCCATTTTTTAAGAAGGATATTCAGTTTGAAGGGCTGCTGCTGTTTCCTCTGTTGCTGTGTTAGTTGCCGTGCGACTCGTGGTGAGTCTGTGTTTAACAGAATGGAGCACTGCCTGCTCGTGTGCCATCCCATGACCCATGTTGGCTCGTACTTGGAAGTAGGTCGTCAGGCCTTCCTCCCTAGTCTTTTCTAGCCTGAAGGCTCCACCGAAACCTGTCCAGTGTCGTTACAGCACACAAGCCACCACAGTACGACAGACTTGACAGATGGGTGGTGGCTGTGCAGGGGGTGCTGGCTGGGACTCAAAGCCTCAGCCTCCCACACGGGAGGTGAGAGTTGTTCACTGAGCCATCAGTGCCTCAGGGTTGCAGGTGCCCAGTATTTCCCTGCTGCAATCTGGAATTGTTCTCTCTCAATTCTCCCTCCCTCTCTCCCTGTCTTATATCACAAGCTATTCTGCATTAAAGAAAGATGGACAGAGACTTTCAACTTTGATGAAGAGAGGTGAAGTGGTGGAAGCAAAGCCTGCCAGGCCAGTTACTGTGTACAGTATCTCCCTTCAAGAATTCCAGCCGCCATATTTCACATTAGGTAAGAAGTAGGAAATAATGTGCATTTTTGTGTACCTTTATTTTTGTATTTTGCTAACTTTAATGGATCCCTAGAATGTTGCAGATTTTGTGAAATTTGAATTGAAGGAAGATTAGAATTTGCTGATCTTTCTGATAAACACGTTTGTTGAAGTGCCTGTAGCTATATAGAGGTTCAGAAATGTGTTCTAACTAGGCTGCTTTTTTCAGATACTGTGTTGTGTTGTCTTACTCTAAAGATACTATCTGTAGGTCTTTGTGGGAAAGAATAGGTTTTTGCTGTTGTTAGCTGCAGGAGCTCTTGTAGCATAGTCCCTAAGGCACTTGACTGCTAACCAGAAGGCTGGTGGTTCAAACCCACCGGCCACTCCTTGGAAGGAAGATGGGGCAATCTATTTCCGTAGTGATACTGTCTCTGAAACCCAAGGAGGGGTCGCTGTGAGTCGGGTGTGACTCGACGGCACATAACAACAACAACAACATTGTTAGCTGCTATCGAGGTGGCCCCGAACTCCGGGCAACTCCAGGCATAATGCAATGAGGCTGTGCCCGGTCCTGTCACCCCATGATCCGTTGGACCAAAGAGCAGGAAAGGAGTTTGTATTTCCAAAATTTTACATTTTATATTGTGCACTCTTACGGGTGGGTACTTTTTTTTCCTCATCTTTGCTACTTAGTACCTTGATCACTGATGTTCAGTTTGGAATTGACATTAGTTTGCCCTTTTTAAACAAAGCATTTTGAGTTTTAAGACATTTGTAGAGTGGAATAATATCTGCCCCCCCAGCCACCTTTGACCTATAAGTTAGTACTTAAAGATCCTGAAAGTACAGGAAAATGAGTAAGGCAAAAATGAATTCTTGGGTATGTGTTGAATTTTAATTCAGGTTATCAGTTTGAATTTATATATAATTTATATTTGAAAAAATTTTAGAAGCAATAACTTAGTTTCTGTTGTGGGGCAATTTTATAATCTTCCTGGCTGCAGGAGGTGGTGGCTGGAGCCCTGTACAGGCAGGAGTGCAGCATCCAAAGTAGAGGAGGTTCTTGATCCAGAGACTCCTGAGACTGGCTCCTCCCTTCATTTTCTGGTGCATACTGCATGGGAGCACTGTAGAAATCACCTCCCTAAACTTTTTCCCTAAACTTACTTATTGCACTTTTCCTTTGGCATTATTATTTATTATGTATTAAATTCCTGTAGAATATGATTTTTCTACCATATTCTCATTTCCTGATTCTTAAATATTTGACAGATAATTGTGAAAACTCTCCAAAAAATGCTTTACTCCATGCCATGAAAATGCAGCAGATGGGTTGGCAGAGTAGTTAGTATCTTTGAAAGTAAGAAAAGCTCAAATTTTTCTGACTGCCTTGAAGTCATACATACTTTATTTTGTTGACTAAAGATTATAATAGGCCAAAAGTTCTGCCTTTTCACCAAAGTCAAATAAATGTAATGCTGGCACACTATGTCCTAGATGCTAGTGCTCATTTTTTCATCTCACCAGTGGCCCCCCAGCCTTGAGCTGATGGGGGAATAAGAAAAAAAGAATCCCCAGGTGCTGAGCTTTGATTAATCCCCCCACATGGCTCTGTTTGTACGATCAGATAGAACCAGCTGGCACATGGTCTTTTTGTGTGGGAATGTTGCAGCTCATTGGAAGATCTTACATGTGAATTGAAGGAGTGATTTTTCTCTGCTCCCAGGCTCACATGGGCTTCAGGAACTTGCAGTGACCCAGACTCACACTCTGAATGAGTCCACTTCTGTTATACTGAGTGTTAAGAAGATGTTTAGACATGCATTCAGTTCTGGGACAGCCTGTTAATTTTAATGGCTATTTTATGATTTCTTCAGGAAGACATTTCCAAGAGAACATTTAAACATGCTGAGCTCACGGTGTATTATGTTCCCCTAAACATAATTCCTGTCACTTTGAAAAGGTTTTTTTTTTTTTTTTTGGTTCGTTGGTTGGTTATTTTTTTGAGTGTACAAATCTGAATATTTTTAAAAAATCTATAGTTCATGATAGTGAAGCTGAGATTCTGCCATTTAAAAGCTATTAAATGAACAAGGCTGAAGTATTAAAGTGCTGCGACTTGCCAGTTAATTTAAAATGTGTTCATGGGTTGCTGCTGTTTGCTTTCTGCACACTCTGACTTTGCAATCTCACAAACACATATGCTGCTCGATGAATAATTTATGTTTTAGCACATAAATATTTTATCACTCGATTGTTTGCCTAGTGCATTTTTACATTTGTTTAGGGGCATCATTTCTATGTAAAGTGGATTTCATAGGAGGTTGGCAATTTACCTTGTCTCTGTTAACATTCCAGATGTTGAATGTGGAGGAGGGTTTTATATCAGAAGCTTGGTCAGTGACATTGGCAAAGGTAAGTATGAAAATGAATTATCCTTTAGAGAATTAATATTCTTTTTGATAAGAAGAGGGAATTTTCTGTCTTTTGTATCTGAATACTTGCCTTAGGAATTGAACTCGCAATACCTTCAGCTTTAAAAGCATTGTAGGTTTACGGCATGCTATTATCAGCATCAGCAGCTGCAGTGAAATGCTTGTATAATGAGAGAAGAGAAAGAGGAGCAGAAAATGAAAATGGAAGTAATGAATTTAAAGGCCAAGATTTTTCAAGTATAAAATATTTTGACTCAGGGTAGGAGTCAGAAAAAAATTCCACCTAAAAGTTACTTTCATTAATACACATAAATTTTTCTAAAAAAATAATAGAAGTGATAGTCTTACAAATGGCCAGGAAATTACAATTCTGGCTCTGTCATTTATTGCCTTTGTGACATGAGACAGGTCATATTACTTCATCTGCAAAGTGAGGATAATAGAACAGTGTAAGTTCTCTGTAGACTTTAAAGCAGTTTAAAGGTGAACTATTAAACAGTATTTTGCTACTTAATCATTTCTTAATCTCAAGGCTCTTGGTTCTTACATTGGATTACAGTTTTACTTTGAAGGTGGTTTTAAGAGGTTTCAGTTGAGTTCTTCTGTCATTTGAAATGTAATAGACATAAAATACTGACTGTTTACCTTGTGGATTGTTGTCCATCTTTTATTGCTGTAGAACTCTCTTCCTGTGCCAGTGTGCTAGAGCTGACCCGAACCAAACAGGGACCATTTACACTAGAAGAACATGCTCTTCCTGAAGAGAAGTGGACCATTGATGACATTGCTCAGGCTCTCAAGCTCTGCTCATCTCTTCTCCCATCAGAGACGGGACTTAAAAAACCCAAACCTGAGGAGTCTAAAGAACAGGCTTTGAGCTGTGAATTTATATCATTAAATGAGGTTAAGGGGGAGGATGATGTAATTCAGTCATATTAAGATTGTTCTGGCCCCCCCCCCCTTGCATGAAGAAAAATATCCATTACTTATAGTTTCTGTAGGGTACAGTTCATCTGCTAGACATTACAAATGGCTTTATAGTTCAGTTCTTTGCTGTATTATGAGATGTTCTTTTAGGGTATTTTTATGTTGTTAATGAATTTGATTTCTTTTCAGAGTCTTTTCCTGTGAAAAGTTGAACAAATTTTCTAACCAGAAAAAAAAAATACGGGGCTACATGTGAATTTGGTTTCTCAAAAGTGAATGTAATTTAGTGTTATTTTGACTTCATGGTGACTCCATATTGATAGTCTTTTTTTTTTTTACCTGTTTGAAATGCTCATCATTTAATGCTTTGTGTTTCGGAGAGTTTATTTTTATTAAGAACATTTCTTTGATAAGACTGCACTCATCTAGTAATAGCTGTGTTTGTTTAAATCTTTGAAACTAATAAATTTTTATAATAAATATTTGTAAGTGAACCAAATTATTACTGCTACCACTAACAGGAAATAAAAGGTTTAATTAAATTCACCTGCACTCTGCCATGAGCTCAGAGGACCGCTCCAATGGCTTGTATCTTGGCAGCTATGAGATCTCTTTCTGGTAATTTCATCGACACAATTGACCACTTTTACTAAGTTACTAATAGAGTAATATTTTAAATTTGAACTAAAGAATGGCTCTTCACTTAAAACTATATTTCTCCATTCTTTAGCACTTTGTTTGGAACTGTTTATAGGGCATTAATCCTTGTGACACTGTTTTTGAGTTGTTTGCTCTTTCAAGTGATATTTATAGACTTTGAGATCGCTGCCCTGCATTTCCAGTTAATCTTTTCTGTTCTAAATATTTAATAACAGTTAACTCTCAAACGTTTTCATTCAGATAGCCTGTCAGAAGTTCCCTATCCCTCTTTACCATATTGAGAACATAGTGGCATAAGAACATAGTAAATGTCATACATAATTTTTCATATTTTTGTTACAGTAAAATAATACGTAGTCAGTCTGTAGAAGAGTTCAAATTCTTCATTTATTCAGATAGTTTCAAAAAGAGAACTCATTTAAAATTTCATAAATAGCAATTTTTCAGTTTTATGGATTTGACATTCTATTAAAGGTGGCAATTCTAACTCAGAAATTTAAAATATGTAATCTAAAGGAGTGTTTGTGGTTCATCTAGTACAAACTCAGTGTAAAAAGCGATCTGCTTTAGTAGAGTATTTTCAACATATTAGCAACATACTTTAAGGGAAAACATTAAACATTACTAATACTTAGTATGACACTGAAAATTACAAGGAAGAGTTTGGTATTGTGATAATTAACAAAATACCAAACACACAAAGCTATAAATTGAAAGCTTACAGTTTTACTTATTCATTACCCTGTAGTTTGTGACAACGAGAGATGACATGGCTGGCTGACTACAGTGACACAGGTTACAGTGCGTCTTCATGCATTGCTGGTTATTCTAAATAGAGGAATACTTACAGTTTAGAAAACAGCTGTGCTATTTTCTGCTGTCTTTTCTCCACCTAAAGACTGACTGTGATTTACTAATGGAGAAGGGTAGAAAGTGTTTAGAAAGACAAGTGGCTTTTTAAAATGATCACCAATCTTTTTTATTTTTTATTGAAAACATTGGGAAAAATTTTGCCAAAAGAAAAAATTACCCATAATCCTCACTGTTCTAATGACTTCAGAATTTAATTTTTGTAATTCTTTTTTTGTCCATATGATTGCTGTCTTAAGATACCTGCAATTTTTATTTAATTTTTTTCATTTGCTGTTATCTAACTCTTTATTTGTACTTAGCTTTTGATAATGATTCTTTGAAGCATATACTCAATTTAAACCATTTCCCTATTGCTGAATACTTACATAAATTGTTTTCAGATATTGTTATTAGAATAAATCCCTGGGGGTGGGATTATTAAGTGAATAGTATGATCAGTTTTCAGATTCTTAATATGTTTGCTTTATTGCTTTTTCAAAGAATTGTAATATTTTAGTGTTACCATTCAAATGTAACAGTTTTGCTGAAAGTTTGCGGCTTTGGGTGGGGGGTTTAAATACTGTTCTTGCTAATTTAGTAAGTATAAGAGAAAGTTCAAAGTTACTTTAATTTGCTTTTCTTTGATTTTTAGCAAGCACGAACATTTTTCCATATTTTAATTCACAATTAGTGTTTCTTTTTGTGTGACTTGTCTGTGTACTTTGTTCATTTATATAAACAAGTGTCTTAATAGTTTCTTTATACATTTGAATGAGTTCTTTACACAGTAAATACTTGATAGAAGTATTTTTCATAGCCTGTTGTCTTTTTTATTTTAGTTTTATGTTTCATTTTGCTAACTGATTTTTTTATAATTCTCCCCCTTTTATAGTTATCAGATTTGAGTTTGAATAAAGTTTATTGAAACTTAAATATATCATTCCTAACTCTAATAAGTAGCTGAAACTGTACATGATGCTCTGAAAAGTTCAAAACTTATCTTTAAAACAAATACATTTTTTCCTAAGTCTGACATTTAAGTGTCAACTTTCTTTCCCACTTTAATAAAAATAAGAAAGAAAATATTTGTGCCTTATGTATTTCTAGGCTTAGGTCTTCATGACATAATAAAATTGTTTTACTTATAAAAATATATTAGAAATTCCTGAAGATGTTTCAACTTGGAACATCTCATATTGCTTCAGTTTGATACTTTGAAGTATTTTTTTATAGTTCTGAAAAATTTTGTCCTAATTTAAAAGTTGTCAAAAGTGGTCATAAGATTATATTATTAATGGTTTTAAAATCTATGAGTATTAAAGTAACCCAGATTTGTTCTTCCCTGCTTCAAAATTGTGGAACTTGAATAAGGGCTAAATTCAGACTTCTATACCAGCTAGATCCTTTCTTCTCAAACACTTGCTGCTGACCTGTCGTCAGAAATGATTCATTATATAAAAAAAGTATGCATTGTATAACAGCTTCAGGACATTGTATGCCGTTGACCATTTTGAAATTTGTTCTTCACTTACAGTAGGATTTGGAGGTCCAATTAGATGTTGAATTATTTGGTTTCAAAGGAAGAAAATAATTTGCCTTATATCTGTGATGTATGTAATAGAAAAAGTATGATTTGAAGAGCACTCTAAAATGTTGAAACATTTTAACAGGAAGATTATAGATAGGAGATTTCTGCACTGACATGATTACAGTAGCCTTACAAAATTAAAATAGAAGGCTTGTCTTCAAACTATTTCTTTATGGTGCATGTGAGCATCTCTTGTTTGGTCTCATCATTCACTAAATACCATTTGTTAAGCACTTACTGCCTGGCACTTGAATCAGTAATGCCTCTGTGTTTTCAATTGCTGAGTTAAATTCTCTCCATGAAGATGAATATCTTCAGAGGCTGTTTATAAATGATGATAACAGTAAGAAAATTGAAGTCCAATTATTATGTCGCTCTTCTTACACGTAACCCTTAAAATATAGCATAGTCAGATTATATCTTTCTATACAGGTTATTTCTGTCTCCTAATAAGCTTTTGACCCTAGGCAAGTCACTTAATCCTTTTTTGGGCCTCAATTTTCTTTGTCTTTAAAACAAAGGGAATGGGACTAACTTCATCTCTAAGAACCTAAAGTAGTAGTCTGTTAAGTATAGATAATTTGTATTTATTCTGCTCAAGATTTGTTCTTCGTGAGCTTTGACTGTCTTTGAATCCATTCTGGAAAATTTCCATCTTTTCTCTCTTTGAATGCCCCATCTCTTCCAGCTCGTCGTCCTGTTAGATTTTTTTCCTCTGACTTTGTTTCCTGTGTCCAACTACAATTTCATAATTTCTGTCTCTTTGTCCCTCTGTGCTGCATCCTGGGGAATTCCTTGAATTTCTTTGATAACTAATTACCTATGCTGCTATTTTATTTTATTGTTTAACTATCTGAGTATTTCAAGAGGTCTTGTATATGTATGCTTTTTTCAGTACCTTCCCATTTTGTGTGGGTGTTATTCTTTCAATAGGGTTTAAGATAGAAACTTTTAAACTTTTTGTTGACATTTTATGTACATGCAGAAAATTGCACAAATCATAAATGTACAGTCAATGGATTTTCACAAACCAGACTACCAGCACCCATGGCAAGAAACAACGTGACTGCCCCCACACACACACACAAGAGCTCTTGTAGTCATTAGCCACCCTACCTCACCCTTCTCACTAGTAACAGTGTAGATTAGTAGTTTTGTCTGCTTTTGTACCTCATATAAACAGAAGCATACAATATACTCTTATGTCTGGCTTCTTTTGCTGAATATTAGGCTTGTGAAGTTCTTCTGTGGTATTGGGTATGGTCCGTAGACCATTCATTCTCATTATTAAGTATTCCATTGTGTGAATATGCCACAGTTCATCCATTTTGCTGAATGTTGTCCACTCAGTTAGCTTCCAGTTTGGGCTATTTTCAGTAGTACTTCTGTGAACAGTTTAGTATGTGTCTTGATTATTTATGATTCTAAGAATAGAATGTAAGTTACAGAGTATACCTATGTTAAGTTAACATGGCTGCACAAAGGTTCACTGGTCTGGAATCGAACCCACAAAGAAGGTGAGAATTCTACTACTGAACCTCTTTAACTGTTTTCTTCAGGACTGAATATTTTTAGTATTTCATTATATCTCCACTGTTGGCTTCTTAGTTATAACTCCTTAAAACTTTGTTTTAAATAATTGCTTTAGGATTTATAATACACAGTGAACCTGGGGCAGCTCAAACTCAGTGGGACTGTATTGTTTTTTCTGGGTCTCGCAAGTTTTCTGTCTTACCACTTTTCTATCACTTGTTTTACTGGAAAATATTTTGACTTTTCCTTCTCTTGGTAGGTTACCACCTTACACAGGTTCTGGCTTTTACAGGTTTTAGTGTACATCTTTATCACAGATGACCTTCAAAGAGTATTGTACTATCACACATGAATAGTATACTAACATTTCTTGTCTCTAGTCTTTTGTGC